CACCCACCACCACACCATGGCCACCTGCCGCCACCATGTGCAAGCTTCCCTCCTGGACCCTACCCAATCCTTGGAGGCAGGCTGGGGACCAGACCTGAAACGATGGAGAGAAGGGGGTGGAAATGAGCCTGGGCCTGAAGCGGTGGGCGGGGAAGGGAGGGAGTGGACCCGGACCCAAGGCTGTGAGTGGGGGGGAAGGTGGGTAGCTGGACCCCAACCTGGGTGTGGGGGGCCATGCAGGCCTCTGTCCAATTCATTTCCTGGAGCCTGTTCACTTCTCCTGTAGCCTAGGAGTGAGCTGTGGGTGGCCCTGGTGCTTCCCACCACGGCGGCGAGGCCCCCTGGGATTGCCCGGGCAGGGTGCCAGTGGGTGGGTGCTGCCTGGGGGGTGCTACCACCGCAGAGGGGCCTGTGTGACCCACCCACAGAGATCAGGCCTCTTGCTGCTTGCTATTTTTTTCCCCCTTTTTTTCCCTTGACGGAACCTGCCTCACGAGCTGCCGTGGGGTCGCGCAGCCCCTGAGCTGTTGGGCCTGGTGCTGTCCTGTGCAGTGGCGGTGCCCCCTGGGGCGACCTGGGCTGGGTGCTAGCTGCGTGGGTGCAGCCCCATCTCTCAGGTATCACCCACTAGATCCAACAGGATATGGGGCACTGGAAGCTCAGGCATGCTCAGGGAAGCTCAGGTTTGGCGGGCTTCTAATGCCCAGTGTACCATTCCTGCCACCTGGGCATGGGCTTTCTGCCCTGGCAATGTGGCAGGAGGGTGGCTGGGTGTGCTGACAGCCGGAGAAGGCGGCAGGGATGGTGCATGGGGCACTGGAAGCCCACCAAGCCTGAGTTTCCCTGGCCATGCCTGAGCTTCCAGCAGCCCTCGCACCGTCTCCACCGCCTTCTCTTGATAGGGCCCTTGTACACGTGAAGAATACCGCTGTAATTTGTTACATAGCAAACTAAAGTACATGGGATTTGTTTTAGTTTTCTGTGTAAAATAGTCATTTAAATCAAAATATGCTGCCGAACATGTATGCTGTTATGAAATTTAATCGTAACATGCCACCAAAAGTGTACGCTATTATGCAATTAAATTGTTAAAAAGGGCAGTTAAACCACTAAAAGGGGCAATTTCCTCATGTGTACAAGGGCCCTCGGTCACATGTACAAAGGCCCTCTTATTCTGTGACTATAAACAAATTACAAGGCCAGACTTTTGACAACATATGTATTTATATTCTTATATCTGTGTTTACACATGGACAGCTTTATGCACCCTTTTTGAGGGTGAGAAGTTTTCATTCTGTTAACGTATTCAGTCAAAGGATAATTAAAAATCCTGTATTGAAAGAAATACTTTTGCAATAAAACTTGAATTGCAAATATTTTGCGGGTTTGAGCTAGTAATTTAAAAGAAATCAGTTTTAATGTATAAGGATTTCTTTTAGACACGTGTTTAGTTTTTTTTTTTAATAGTGTCATTATTTTGTAATCTGATAATATCTCCTGGAACCTTTTCTTTAGCAAGCCAAAATTGAGTTTGGTTATATGAACTACAGGGCTTATTTCAGGTGTTATGATTATACTAAAGCCTCTTGAAACTACGACAGCTCTGCAGGCTGTCTTGCTGTCATGGAGGGATAGTGGTGAAGAGCTGCAAGGTTATTTTCACATCTGAGCTTTGGAATATAGCCTGGTGCACAGTGTGAACAGTCAGTTGGGTGCTGCTTTCGCTCAGCTGTTTTTGGAAGCTTAAAGAGCCCTGGACCAGCAATCATTTCTTTCTAGTACATGTCACAGACACTTAATGCAGTGTTGCTGCTGAGCAGCTTCCTTAGAATTGATGACCTTGTCTGGCTGCACTCCCACCCTCTGTTGGTAAGAGAACTCATTACTGCTTGTGCTACAGCTTTCCTCTACCTTGTCCTCCGGTGATTACACACTTAGCTACTGCTTAAAATGCAGAGTTCTTTCTCCTATTACGAGTTTGGTCTTGGATAAGCAATACTAGTGACTAGAGCTGCAGCCTCAGAATAGGACTGGGAACCAGAATCTTGTGACTTCAAATCCCACCCTAGGATATATTTGTCTTCCGTGGACATATACCTGCACAGGAGGAAAAATACTTGCTTTGTGTGTTGTTTTTCACTGCTTTACAGGCAGAAATCGGAAGGATTGTTCCGTGTTTACCAAATACATTTTAGGAATGTGAAATCTGCTGCTGTTGTAGTTTGTGGAAAACCTTTGGGAGGCTTCGGGTTTGTTCATTGTTAATCATCTCAACCTGCAATTGAAGGAGCTGGCTGCAATGCTGAATTTTTAAAAAGGTCTTTTTGTCTACATAGTTAACAAGTAAAAAGGCATATCCAATATTTTTCTTTTGCAGATCACCTCAAACTTACATGATGGTTTCTCTTCTCTATAAAAATGGGAATAATAAATCTTTATTAAATAGAAACGTTAGTTTGGAAGGGGCCTAAAACAGATCGTGGAGTCCACTTCCCTGTGCTGAGACAGGATAGGTGCCCTTACATCCCCCTGACAGTTGATTTAAACTAGCCTTAGAAACCTCCAGCAGAGGAGATTCCACCTCCTTTTTATGCAGCCTATTATGTGCTTTCCTACAAAACTAGAAAACCTTTCCTGAGAGCATTTAAATGTTTTGCAGAAGAACTAAACAGGTTCTGTTATGGGAGCACTCCCCACACTGACCAGTGGTGAATATATGTTTCTCAGACTGTTTCTCCACTGTTTGCAGGTGTTGGGTAACAGAATTATTTGTCTTTTAGCAAAACGGGTTAGAGGTGCACTGATACGTCAGTCCATATCATATCAGCACGAATAAAATGAAAATTGACATTATT